GTGTGTGTGTGTGTGTGTGTGTGTGTGTGTGTGTGTGTGTGTGTGTGCGCGCATTTATGACTGTGCTGTACAATGCCACTGCAGGTCTGAACACGCCAGGGTCACGAAATTATGATCGCATAGCCAATCCCAGTATCTGTGGAAACCAAAAACATTAGAACCTGTTCATCCGTCTCCCCCCCTTCCTCCCTCCCTCCCACTCGCTGTTCTGCTCTCTCTCGTTCTCTCTCCCCTTGTGGGTGTCTTGGCTAAAAGCCTGCACCCAAACCTTCAAGAATGACTGGTTCGGTCTGTGTTGACACCTGATGAGTTAAAGAGTGGGCCAAGTTCTTTATGCACTCTGTAAAGAGATGATTAAGGAGTAGTTTAGAAATAGACAGGTTATTGTGCTCGTATTTACCTTTCTATTATCTTACACTATTCTTTTTCACACAGCCTCCACCTCTTTCTCGAATGTATCTTTCATGTCTCTCTCTCTCTCTCTCTCTCTCCGTGTCTGCAGTGTTTACAGCAGTGAGGAGGATGAGGACGAGACCGAGATGTACGACCACGATTATGATGGATCGCTGGCCAAGGCAGGGAAACGGCACCTCGGCAAAACTCGCTGGACGCGAGAAGAGGTACACACCCAAAACACCGACAACACTTCAAAACCCTACTGTGCAATACAAACGACACCGCTGAGCTCAGGTGTTGGGTAGAAAATTGCTTCAGAAGAGAACACGTCCCAGGAACCTGGGAACTTTTCTTTTTATACTTGTCTGGTGTAACCACATTCACAGACTATTATGTTATCATTGCTGGGGGTGATGTTCATAGCAGGGATGCATGTCGAACAAACTGCAATATGTTTTCTCTTCTTTTTTTTCCAGGATGAGAAGTTAAAGAAACTCGTTGAGCTTCATGGATCAGAAGACTGGAAGCCTATTGCAAGCTTACTAACTGTAAGTAAGGAGGCCCGTGCATGCATGCATGCATGCATGCATGCACGCACACGCGTGCAAAATAAGCTCCCATAGTGTGATTACTAATCATCTGCTCTCTGACCGACCAGAATCGTACAGATGTGCAGTGCCAGCACAGGTGGCAGAAGGTTCTCAACCCAGAGCTCATCAAAGGGCCGTGGACCAAAGAGGAGGACCAGAGGGTAAGAAAACAGCCTTTTGGAACTTCACATAATGGTGCAGAACGACTTAATGTTGGAGCAAAGTAGGAGACAGGCATCCTCCAGGGTTAAAACAAACCATCTGTAGCAACCTCTTGGCTGCTGTTGCACAGGTTTAGTTTCCCAAAAAAGTTGCCGTTACTCAACGAGTGACATGCTCAGTCTCTTAAAAGCCTGTGAAGTATTTGTTGAACTAGTCCATCGGGGTTATATTTCCACCCAGATGCCGCTGTAATGATTAGCAGAGTGGCTAACGTTCCGCTGGAAACTCCCTCTCTGCTCACCAGCAGGTGTTCTCGATCACCTCCACAAGTGGAAAGATAAAGAAAGAGCGGAGGAGGGAGAAGCATTCACTGACACAATGTTCTGAGATTTTTCTGGGTAACTAACAAGTTTCTTTCTTGTCATTTTCTCTCCTATCTCTTCTACCTCTCATATACCTATGATTTATTTCTTTACTTCTCCCTCTCCTCCCTGTCATTGCTCCTTCCTCTTTTCTCTCACCCCTTCACTGCCATTTACTTCTCTTCCTTTTCAACGCTCTTCCTCCTCGCCTCTTGTCTTTCCTCTTTCCCCACTCCCTTCCCCACACACACACACACACACACACACACACACACACACACACACACAC